CTAAGAGGACCTGCTCAACATTGATCTGCGCATCGCAGTGATAATTGCGTCACTGAAGCTAGCGTCGTTACACCCAAACTTCGCTTCCCGCGTCGCGGTGAGCCACCAAATTGCTTGTTGCCCATGCCCGGCTCTGTCGCAAGCCCTGATTCCAGCGCTGAAGCTGATCGAGTCGGGCATTACTCTCGCCTCCCACATCTCGCTAAGCAGCGACAGAGCCCGCTGCCACTGCATGCCTCTGTCGCACGCACTGATCCCAGCGTTGTAGCTGGTGGCGTCGGGTACTAACTTCGCCACCCACATTTCGCTCAGCAGCGCCAGCGCCCGCTGCCACTGCATGCATTTCTCGCACGCACTGATCCCAGCATTGTAGCTGACTAGGGCGATCCCGTGGACTTCGTCCACGTCATCTTGGGGCAGTCTTTGCTCGAAAAGGCCGTCTTGGGCCTGTCTTCTCTCGAGATGGCGAGAAGGTGGAAGTCTTTCAGAAGCCATAGAAGAATCAATGATTTCGTTTGCCGCGGCTCGTCTGAAGCGTCTTCGAGCGGTCTTGGGCCGTCTCGGAGGCCCTCTTGGACCGCTTCCTTCTCTTCGTCCGCCTTCCGCTCTACCTCCGCCTAGACAGCCTTCGGAGCGTCACAGACGGCTTCGGTGGGTCTGCGGTGTACGTTTCGCCGCTTGTCAATTTTGAAAGCACCTGGGGCCTTGAAAAAAGTAACCCGAAGGGCTCTGGTGACTTTTTTCTGGTTGCCTCTTCGAAGCCTGATGGCGGGCGCTGCCGTCTCCTTGGGAACGGTCAGTGGGCCTCTCGGGGTTTCTTTTCGTGCTCCTGGGGGCCTGTTGGGGCCTCGTTGGCTGTCTTGCGGCCTCCTAGGGGCCTCTTGGGCCGTCTTGCGGACTCCTGGGGGCCTTTTCTCTTGAATTTTTTGTTGGGCGCCTCTGGGGCCGTTCCCGGGCTGTCCCCCCGAGCCTCTTCCGGGGGACGGCCCAGGAAATCTATTGTGCTGGCGTGCTGTGCGTGCGTGCTCCTGTGTGAGAGGTCGGAAGGGTGTCCCGACGTCACCGCTCGCCCTTGGGAGCTGTGCCTGGGAGAGCTCTCCACGCTGCGTCTCGCTCTTGGGAGCCTTGGTGAGAAGAGCTTTCTACTTCACCGATAGCTCTTTTAATGAGCGCCTCTGGGCCTGCTTGGTGGTCCTTGTGGGGATGTTTTTCGGGCCATTGTTTGGGCTGCTCTGGGAGCGTTTTGGACGTTTTGGGGCCATTTTGGGCCGTCACGGGGCGTCCGGGAGGCCCTGGACCGTCTCGGAGCTCTCTTGAGGCTGCCTGAGGCCGTCTTGGGAGCCTCTTGGGGCCCCCTCGGAGCTCTCTTGGGGCCGTTTTGGGGTTCTGTGAGGCCGTTTCAAGGCTCTCTGGCGTCGTCTTGGGGCTCTTGTGGGCCGTCTTGGAGCCCTCTGAGGTGCCGCTGGCGTCTTCTTGGGGCGATTTGGAAGGCCTCTTGGCGTGTCCTGGGCTGCTGAGGCGCACACAAGGCGGGCATGCTGAAAATTTACGCTCCCATGGGAATTTGACGATTTGTGCCTCTTTGGCGTGCGCTCGGGGCCCTCTTGGGGCATCTTTGCGGCCTCTTGGACCGTCGTAGAGCCCCCCCCTGGAAGGCTTCGGGCCCTCGTGGGCCGTCTCGGGGCCCACTGAGGCCGTCTTGGAGCGCTCTTGGACGGTCTGGGAACCCATCTGGAGCGATTCTGGGACCGGCCTGAGCGATTCGACCCCGTGGTGGCGCCGTAAAGGGGCGATGTAGGAGCATGTAGGAGAGACTGGGGCTGACCCGTAGGGGAGATGTAGGAGCATGTAGGAGAGACTGGGGGAGAGACTTGGGCGATGTAGGAGCATGTAGGAGAGACTGGAGCATGTAGGAGCATGTAGGAGCCGTAAAGGGGCGATTTTGTCCACTTGAGGCCCGGAGAGATTCTCGCGCGCGCTTCCACTGGCCATGTAGGAGAGACCGGGGCCGACCCGCGGCCTGCCCGCCGCGGAATCTGCCCGCCATGGTGCGGATGTGGGAGTGAAGCCAGGAGGCAGGTTTGGGAGCGTGCTCCCCCTGGGGGGCATGAAACCCGCGGGTGGGGCCGTCTTGGGAGCCTCTTGGCCCGTCGTGGACCATCTTGGGGCCGTCACGCGGCCTTCTCGGTCCCACTTGGGGCTCTCTCGAGCTGCCTCGGGTGGCCCTTGAGCCGCCGTCTGGGGCCTCTTCTTGGGCGCCTCGGGGGCGGTCTTGGGGCCGTCTTGGGGCTGTCTTGGGCCGTCGTGGGCCGCTCTTGGAGCTGTCCTGGATGCATCTGGGGCCGTCCTGGGCGACTCAGGAGCCGTCCTGGGGCCGTCATGGGTCGTCTTGGGGCCGTCAAGTCCTCGGCCCGCCTGGCGGGGCCTGAGGCCCTAGCCCCATGGCTTTCCCCAATCAGTGCTTGCACTGAAGAGGTCCTACCGGAAATTGAAAGATTTGGCGAAAATTTCCCGTCGATTTTGGTAGCAGATTGGGTTCCCGGGTTCTCGGTTCCGGGTTCCCGGGTTCCCGGTTATTGGTTCAGGGCCGATTTCGGTGGGTTCTGGGTTCCCGGGCTCCCAGGTTCCCGGTCGATCTCCTCAGCGAAAACCATCCACTGATTGGGGCTTTTCTGTGGTGTAATTTTTAATCCTGGTCAAGTTTCCCCTGCATGGTGCCCTGGTCCGCGCTCTTGGCGCGCTATCCGGTGGGCTGCGGCGGCTGGGTTCAAGCTGCGCCCGGCGCCTGCGCGGGGCGCGCCGTCGAAGGTCAGTCGGCGCCCTCGCCGCCCTCAGACATCGGAGTCTGTGTGTGGGGGGAGCCCGCAGCTGGGGCCGTCTTGGGAGAAGCCTGGCCCGCTTTGGACCAACTTGGCGCCGCCGTGTTGGGCCATCCTGGGGCCGTCTGGAACCGTCTGGGGCCATCTTAGGGCCTCCTTGAGCAGCTATCCTCCGTCCTGACTGGTCCGGCCCCCCCCCGCCCCCGGGGTCGAGGTATGTATTCTGAAAGGAATACTTACCTCCACCCCCCAGGGGGCGGAGCCTGCAGCTGCCTCCCCGCCCTTCAGGGTCGAGGCATTTACACCTTAACCGCATGCCGATGATAATAAAGGGACCCCCCCCCCCCTTCAGTGTTTAGAGTTGATTATCGTCGCCCTATACAAAATTCAAATTGGGCGGCGAGCGCTGAGGCCGAACTTCATTATCACCTCGAAACGCTATGTTGAGATAGCAACATCAAGCGATGTTGATATAGCAACATCAAGCGAAGCGATCACACTTTTTCAGGATGTGTCAAGCGAAACCAATAATTTTGGGAGGCAGACTCAAACGAAACGAGCAATGTTCTTATTATTATTCTACTTTCCTCTTCTTCTTTTATATTTCTATATGTCCTCACGCTCGCCTGAACTTTTTTATCCCTGGGGTTGATTATCCATGGAAAATGAAGCACATACCCTACACGAGCACTTAAAAAAAACAATTTTCATAAAGCGTTTGTAAATTAAAACTGATAGATTTGGAACTTTGGATTTTTCCTTTCTTCGTCCTCTTCTTATTCTCCTCTGCTTCTTCTTTCTTATTATTCTTCTACTGTATTATTCTTCTTTTATATTTCTCTCTGTCCCCACGCTCGCCTGAACTTGCTTATCTCTGGGGTTGATTATCCATGGAAATTGAGGCACATGAGCTACCCTACACGAGCACTTACAAACAACAATTTTCATGAGAGATAAGCCATTGTTGAGGATATTTCTATGAAAACTAAACGCCAAGGATGTCTCAAAACGTGCTCGGCTTGGTCTCCTCTTGATCATCTCTTACTTCGAGATTATGCAGAGGTCTGCTGGGCTACTTTTATTATCTCTCCCTGAACCCCGAACTTTATTATCCCCTAGTGTTTATTCTCACGGGCATGAGGTTAAATGAAAGTCTGAAGTGAATAACTGCCTCCACCCCCCAGGGAGGGGAGCCTGCAGCTGGGGCCGTCTTGGGAGCATCTTGGCCGTTTTGGACCATCGTGGCGCCGTCTTGTGCCATCCTGGCGCCGTGTTGTGCCATCCTGGGGCCCTCGTGGGGCCGTCTTGGCGCTATCCTGGGTCCGTCTTGCACCGTCTGTGGTGCATGGAGTGCTCCTCGAGAACCTGCGAGTGGCCTCACGCCTCTCGTCCGCCTCTCCGCTCTTGGAGGCAGTTTGGAAGCCTCGTGGGGCCTCTTGGGGGCCGCTGGAAGGCACATTGAACCATCCTTTGGACGTCTTGGGGGCCTCTTAGGGCCGTCTTAGGCGCCGCTTGGGCCGTCTTGGGCTGTTTTGGGCGTACTTGAGCGCCTCTAGGGCTGTCTCGGGCACGTCTTGGACCGCTCTTCGAGCCCACTTGGGCTGTCCTGGGCGCCTCTTGGGCTGTCCTGGGGCCGCCTTGGACCGTCCTGGGGCCCCCTGGAGGCCCTCTTGGGGCGTCTTGGGCCGATCTTGGGGGCCTGAATGGCCGTCGTGGGCGCGGTGCACCCGAGGAAAGCGAATATGTAAAAACTGCGCTTCCCCGAAGGATTGGGACGATTTTTGCTCCTGGGAGCCCTCTTGGACGTCTCTTGGAGGGGCTTGGAGGCCTCTTGGGCCGCCTGGAAACACATCGGAACGTCCCGAAACCGTCTCGAGGACGTCTGCGGCCCACCTGACGCGCGCTGGAGCCGCCCGGCGGCGGGGCGCGCCCAGGGCGTGCCAAAGGGCCTGGCGAGGCCGACTTGGTCCACTTGAGAATGCTCCCTTCCCGCACGCGCTCCTTCTGGCCATGTGGGAGAGATGACGTCGGGCTCCAGCTTTACTTCCCACATCTCGCTCAGCAGCGCCAGCGCCCGCTGCCACTGCTCGCCCTTCTCGCACGCGCTGGTCGCAGCGCTGTAGCAGATGACGTTGGGCTCCAGCTTCGCTTGCCGCATCTCGCTCAGCAGCGCCAGAGCAGGCTGCCACTGCTCGCCCTTCTCGCACGCGTTCATCCCAGCGCTGTAGATGACTAGTGTGAACCCGTGGGTTAAATCCACGGCGTGCTGAACCTGGGACTCGCACACCGTAGGTGACCAGCTCGTCGAAGCTGAACAGCTCGGGCGTCCCTGGGGCGGCAGGGGCGACCTTCGGAGGCACGTGTGACGGGCACGTTTGAGGGCAATGGTTGGGGGCTGTGTGTGTGGGGGGGGTGACGTTCGGGGGCCACGCTTGCTGGGGCGGTATGGGGCGACCTTCGGAGGCTTTGTGTGGGGGCCGCCTTTGGGGGTCCCGTTTGGGGGCCACGTGTGGGGCCGACGTTTAAGGGGCCACGTCTGGGGGGCCACCGCGGAAAGCAGTCTGGGAGCTCCGGGGGCACTGAACTGCAAGCGAGAAAAGATATTGTTTTTTTGCTAGTCGCGCCGGGCCGAGGCGCGATCAGCAGAAACAAACGGGCTTTCAGGCACAGTCAGGGTGAGGGGGGCACGTTTGCGGGCCTCGGTTGGGAGCCGCGCAGGGAGGTCTTGGGGCCATCTTGGGGGTCTCGGGCCGTCTTTGAGGTCGTTTTGGGCCCTCTTGGTGGTGCATCTTGGGTCCTTCTCTGGGCGTCTTGGGGCCCTCTTGGGGGTCTCGGGCCGTTCTGGAGGTCGCTCTGGGCCTGGTCGGGCAGGGCCTGGGGGCCCTCCTGGGGCACTCTTGGACCGTGCAGGGGCGACGTGGGAAGCCTCCCGGGCCCTCCTGGGCCGCTGTGGGCCCGCATGGCAGGAACAAGGAAGCCCTCGAGAACTTCGGAACACGCACACAAGTGTTGCCCCTCGGCGCCGTCCAGGCGGTCCTCGGGTGCCGTCTCGGAAGCTTTTGGGGGCCGTCAGGAGGCTCCGGTCGGGTCGGCTTCGGCCCTCGTGGGCGTCTGTGAGGCCGTCTTGGGGCGATCTGGGGGTCCTGGAGCTGTCGGCGAGCGCTCCAGGGGCCGTCGAGGAGCGCCCCAGAGGCTCTCCAGGCGGCCCGCGGGCTCTCTGGGCGGCCCCGGGCGCTGCCGCAGATTTTCCTTTCGCACGCGCCGCGACCAGAATTGTAGTACAGATGACGTCGGGCTCCAGCTTCGCCTCACACATTTCGCTCAGCAGCGCCAGCGCCCGCTGCCACTGTTCGCCCCTCTCGCATGCGCTGATCCCAGCGCTGTAACAGGTTGCGTCGGGCTCCAGCTTCGTCTCCCACACCTTGCTTAGCAGCGCTAGCGCCCACTCCCACTGCTTGCCCTTCTCGCACGCGCTGATGCCAGCGCTGTAGCTGATGACGGTGGGCTCCAGCTTCGCCTCCGACATCTCGCTCAGCAGCGCCAGCGCAGGCTGCCACTGCTCGCCCTTCTCGCACGCGCTGATCCCAGCGTTGTAGCTGATGGCGTCGGGCTCCAGCTTTACTTCCCGCATCTCGCTCAGCAGCGTCAGCGCAGGCTGCCACTGCTCGCCCTCTCGCACGCGCTGATCAGAGTTGTAGCTGACTAGGGCAGACCTGTGGACTCCGTCCACGACATCAGCTCGACGTGGCGAGGGGTCTCTGGGCAAGCGCGAGGGGGTGCGGCTGCAGGGCCGAAAGGCAATCATGATAGCGTCGGGCTCCAGCTTCGGAGGTCCTGCTGCTTCCTCCCCCTCCTCCTCCTCCTCCGCCTCCTCCTCCTCCTCCTCCTCTTCCACCTTCTTCTCCTCTTTCGCTGGATTCTCCATGCCCTCGGTCGGCAATCGTCGATCCCACGACGACGACCCCCAACAGAGAAACACCGAAGGCCCTCTCAGCGTCCAACATTGTTCTTTTGTGCCTTCGATATGCCGGTCGCCTCTCGTCCGCTCCCCCCCTCCTGGAAGCAATTCTGAAGCCACTTAGGGCTTCGTGGGGGCCGTTTGGGGATCTCTTGGGGCGTTTTTGCCTGCGATATGCCTGTCGCCTCTCGTCCGCTCCCCCGCTCCTGGAGGGAATTCTGAAGCCACTGAAGGCTTCGTGGGGGCCGTTTCGGAGCCTCTTCGGCCTTCTTTTGGGCCTCCCGGGGGGGCTCTTAGGGCCCTCTCGGGCCGTCTTGGGTGCCTCTTGGGCCGTCTTGGGGCCGTCTGAGGCCCGCCTCGGCGCCTCTTGGACTGTCTTGGGCCGTCTTGGGCAGCTCCTGGGGCCGTCTTGGGTGCCTCTTGGGCCGTCTTGGGCGCCTCCTGGGCCGTCCGGGGGCCGTCCTGGGGCGTCTGGGCACCGTCTGGGGGCCCTCCTGGCCCGTCTTGGGGCTCTCTTGGGGTCCTCTTCGGCCGTCTTGGAGCGTTCGGGGGGACTTCTTGGGCCGTCTTGGAGCGTCGGGAAGCCGAAGAGGCGAGGAGGGCGAAAACATCGAAAAACACAGTAGAAATCGACGATATCTGTCGCTCGGGGCCCCCTTGGGAGGCCTCTTGGGAGGCCTCTTCGGGCGTCTTGGACGCCTCTTGGGCCGTCTGGGGCGAATCTCGGGCGTCTTGGGCCCATCTTTAAGCGTGCCGGGGCTCTCCGGGGCCGTCTTGGGGGCTTCTGGGGGCCCTCTCGACATGTCCTGGAGCCTGCCTGGGCGGCCCGGGGCGGCCCGGGGCCAGCCCGGGGCGGTTTCGGTGCATTGGGGCCTGCGCCCTTCTGGCACGCACTGGGCCCTGCAATGTAGTAGAGACTAGGGCAGACCTGTGGACTCCGTCCACGACATCAGCTCGACGTGGCGAGGGGTCTCTGGGCAAGCGCGGGGGGGTGCGGCTGCAGGGCCGAAAGGCAATCATGATGGCGTCGGGCTCCCCCCCTCCTGGAAGCAATTCTGAGGCCACTTAGGGCTTCGTGGGGGCCGTTTGGGGATCTCTTGGGGCGTTGTTGCCTGCGATATGCCTGTCGCCTCTCGTCCGCTCCCCCGCTCCTGGAGGGAATTCTGAAGGCACTGAAGGCTTCGTGGGGGCCGTTTCGGAGCCTCTTCGGCCTTCTTTTGGGCCTCCCGGGGGGGCTCTTAGGGCCCTCTCGGGCCGTCTTGGGTGCCTCTTGGGCCGTCTTGGGGCCGTCTGAGGCCCGCCTCGGCGCCTCTTGGGCTGTCTTGGGCCGTCTTGGGCCGCTCCTGGGGCCGTCTTGGGTGCCTCTTGGGCCGTCTTGGGCGCCTCCTGGGCCGTCCTGGGGCCGTCCTGGGGCGTCTTGGGACCGTCTTGGGGCCCTCCTGGCCCGTCTTGGGGCTCTCTTGGGGTCCTCTTCGGCCGTCTTGGAGCGGTCGGGGGGACTTCTTGGGCCGTCTTGGAGCGTCGGGAAGCCGAAGAGGCGAGGGGGCCGAAAACATAGAAAAACATAATAGAAATCGACGATTTCTGTCGCTCGGGGCCCTCTTGCGAGGCCTCTTGGGGGCCTCTTCGGGCGTCTTGGACGCCTCTTGGGCCGTCTGGGGCGAATCTCGGGCGTCTGGGGCCCATCTTTAAGCGTGCCGGGGCTCTCCGGGGCCGTCTTGGGGGCTTCTGGGGGCCCTCTCGACATGTCCTGGAGCCTGCCTGGGTGGCCCTGGGCGGCCCGGGGCCAGCCCGGGGCGGTTTTGACTCATTGGAGCCTGCGCCCTTCTGGCACGCACTGGGCCCTGCAATGTAGTAGAGACTAGTGTGAACCCGTGGAAAATCCACGGCCCGCAGGTCCAGGCGTTGGTCCCGAACTCGCACGTGTCGCCGAAGCCTGGGCGAGGCCCTGGGCGGGCGAAACTGGATAATTCATCCGGGGAACCCGACAACTCGTCGATGGACAGAATCTAAGAGCGTGAAGAGAACCCGTGCTCGAACACTCCAGGTGTTAGCCCACTTGGGCTAGGTTGTCGTCCTGACCGGAACCCTGAATGGGCGAGGGGTCGATGCAGGGCCCCGGGGAGCCGAAACCTCAGGAAACTCAGATCGTCTTGGGCGGTGTCCAAGGCCTTGGGCCTTGGGGTACGTGTGGGGGCCAATCCTGGCGCAGTGGAATGGCCAGAACCTTCGGATTTTCGCTAATTGCGGCGAGGCCGGGCGCGATTAGCGAAAACCCGATGCTTTTTGAGATCTCCACGCCCGGCCTTAATCGGTTACGATAGCCCTCTTGGGCCCTTCGGGCGCCGCTTGGGGCAATCTTGAGGGTGTCAGGCCGTCTCGGACCTGGCGTTGGGCTCCCGTGAGCGGCCGTCGTGGGGCTCTGGCCGGATCGACTTCGGCTCTCTTGGGCGTCTTTGGGGCCGTCTTGGAGCGATGTGGGGGTCCGGGAGCCCTCGGGGAGCGCTCCAGGGGCGTCCTGGGGCCGTCGGGGAGCGGCTCAGAGCTCTGGCAGGTCGAAGCCAGCAGAACCGAGAGAGCAGCGGTGAGGCCCCCGATGCAGCCAAGGGTGCGGGTGCTGGTATACGTAGGGCCCCCGAACCGGCTGTAGTAGCCTGCGGGCAATCTCGCCGCGGGCCTGGGAAATGAGTAAGAGATCTCGTGGATGTTGGTTCAGATCTCGTGGTTGGCCTCTCGGGAGCCTCTGGGAGACAGTTTGGGGGCTTCTTGGTAGCAGTTTGGGGGCGTCTTGGGGCCTCTTGGGCCCTCTTTTGGGGCCTCTTGGGGGCCTTTTGGGGCGCTTGGCGGCCTCTGCGGGGCCTCTTGGAGCCTCTTTGGGGCGTCCTGGGGCCTCCTGGGGATGTCCTGGGAGCGTCCTGGCGTTTCTTTGGGGCGTCTTGGCGTTTCCTTGGGGCCTCTTGGGGTGTAGGCCTCGATTTTTCGGTTCCGGGTCCCTGTCTTGGGCCTCTCTTGGGGCCTTCTTGGGCCGTCTTGGGCGACTCTTGGGCCGTCTTGGGGCCCTCTTAGGCCGTCTTGGGGCCGTCTTGAAGGCCTCTTGGGCCTTCTTGGAACGGTCTTGGGGGCCTCTTGAGCGGCCGTGGAGCGTCGGAAAGCCAGAAAAGCGAGAAGGCCAGAAACATGGAAGAAAAATAAGAAAATCAGCGGTTTGGGCTTCTGCGGCCCCTCTTGGAGGCGCACTTCGAGCGCCTCGTGGAGGCGTCTCGGGCCGTCTTGAAGGCGCCTTAAAGCCATCTTAAGCGTCTCGGATGCACTCCTGGACCGTCTTGGGCCGTCTTCGGGACCTCCTGAGGCCGTCTTGGGGCGATCTGGGAATCCTGGATCAGTCCGGGGCCTCCCGGGCCCGTCGTGCAGCGGCCCGGAGGCTCTCCGGGCGGCCCGCGAGCTCTCTGGGCGACCCACGGCGCCACCGCTTGACCTTCTCGCAAGCGCTTCGCCCGGCATTGTAGTACAGATGACTAGGGCTAGGGCGACCCCGTGGACTTCGCCCACGACCTTCAGGTCCCCCTGGTGCGCCTCGCAGGCTCTGGAAACTTGTTTTCGCTTGTCGTGTAGGAACCTGAAGGCGGGCGCTGCCTTCTCCAAGGGATAGTTTGGGAGCTTCTCGGAGCTCCTTCGCTTTGGAGAGCCCCTGTGTCAAGGGCTGGTCACGTCACCGCTTGGGAGAGCTCTCTACGCTACTGCTCGCTCTTGGGAGCTTTGGTGAGAAGAGCTTTGTACTTCACCGATGGCTCTTTTAATGGGCGTCTCTGGGCCTGCTTGGTGGCCCTTGTGGGGGTCTTTTTCGGGCCATTCTGAAGTTTTTTTGGGCTGCTCTGGGAGCGTTTTGGAACGTTTTGGGGCCATTCTGGGCCGTCACGGAGCGTCTGGGAGGCCTTGGACCGTCTTGGAGCTCTCTTGAGGCTGCCTGAGGCCGTCTTGGGAGCCTCTTGGGGCCCCCTCAGAGCTCTCTTGGGGCCGTCTTGGGGTTCTGTGAGGCCGTTTCAGGGCTCTCTGGCGTCGTATTGGGGCTCTTATGGGCCGTCTTGGAGCCCTCTTAGGGGCGGCTGGAGTCTTCTTCGGGCGATTTGGGAGGCCTCTTGGCGTGTCCTGGGCCGCTGAGGAGCAAGGCGGGCATGCTGAAAATATACGTTTTCCTAAGTCAATTATGTTAGGCACCACGTTGGCTTCCCACTGCAACCGTTAGGCGCCACCGTGCAAGCGGGGCGAAGCCCCCGGCCTGGCTCCACTCGGTCAAGGAGGAGGAAGTCTGTCGCCGCCCTCGCCGCTGTCGCCGCCGTCGTCGCCTGGTCTGCCAGCGTCGCTGCCGCGATGGCCGCGGCGTCGGCGGAGAGCCTCGGAGCTGTTCCCGAGGTTGCCGGTGGTCTCGGGCTCCGCGTGCAGGGCCTCAATCTCGGCGGTCGCCCCGCCCCTGGGGGCCGGCATCTATGGGCTGACCCGTGGACTGCGTTGTGTTTCAGCCAGGGAGGGGGGGGGGGATAGTTCCGAAAAGCGCATCTCCAGTCCTCCTGCGCCGAGACGCTCCTGGAGTCGTGGAGAGCTTGAGGATAAAATTAAACGCCTGGGCAGTGATTTAAATCTGTCCGCGGCAGGCCGGAGGCATCAGCAATGGACCC